AGCCCTCCTGTGCTCGACAGAAAAAATAGTACACAAAATATAGCATGGCAAGGAATGTCATCTAAGATAATACCATATAGCATAATAGAAGAATATAGCGTAATTTATTATCAAATAATATACTGTATGCTGTAATATTGTAATATTGTAACCTTACGGACTTCCCTGGCATTGCCCTGCTTCAGGATGCTACAAGAGGGTACACGAGTACTTTTAGCAGTGGAGGTCTTGTAGCCCCTGATTCGGAAAGTCCAAGTCAGAACCCCACAGCCCCTTGGTGTCGTAGCGTTCCAAGAGCTTGCCATAACCCTTTGACCAGAATGTTCAAGGGGTGCATGGAGCCGTGTACGAAAGTCTCTTGGCCCTTGTCTTGGTTGTCATTGCTTCCGCAGGCCTCCTTGGCAGGCAGCCAAGAGATGAAAGAGGCCATTCAGGACTGGTTCACGGTTCGGGTGGCGCTAGCAGTATGTGAAATCAGGAAGTTTTCAGAACCGGCGCATGGGCTTTCGACTTCAAGCAGGCCCATTTGGTTGCCGTGAGGCCGTTAAAGATCGGTTCCCAGTCACATTCCTTTTCACGCTTTGAATCTCCCCCGGTTGCAGACTTCGTTGGGGCTGTTTGTAGGCTTTTGATTTTGTGTGCTTTTCGGTGTGTTCACGGTATTAAGCTGTTCAGTGTCTTTGATTTTTCATGTACAACTTCATACTACAGAAGCGCAATCCCTCAGAAACCAGTCAGGAGCAGACATGTCGCGATCCGAAGCTGAAAGAAGTCTCCGACGAGGCCACAGACATCTGGGACTAACAGTCCATGGATTGCAGAGTCCGCGAGAGCTTGGGGAAGTTTGCTATGGGGTTTCACGCGTTTGATCATACGGCACGGCTTGACGAGCAGTCCAAGCTTGCGGTGTCAGGTGTTGTCTTTTTTTTTATGTCTGGGCTTTGCAGCCCTTGATTTCATTTAGAGGATTGCGGTTTCGTAATTCGTGCCACTGCCATCTTCAACCGATGGATACACTGCTGATGCTCAAGACAAAGCAGTTGTTGGGTCTTTGGGTGAGCCTCGAAGGTAAGACTCCGAACTACAAATCCTGCTGGGCTCAGCATGTGTTTGTTGGGGAAGGTCTTACGCAATGTGCGCTTGTGCACTTGGCGGTGTGCAGCTTGGAAGCAGGTCAGCCGCGCTTTGTATGGCAGTGCGGGACTCGGCTTTGTTGCTACGTTCACCTTCCCGGCACTGGAATTCCCTAAGGGTCCATGTACCCTAATAGTGGAACATTGGCCCTAAAGTACCTATATAGGGACTACATTAAGGCCAAAGTATAGACTATTTGGGTACATGGACTCTTAGGGATTCAATCCTCGTGAAAGCCCTCACCGTCCATGGTCCGGAGCTTGAAAAGATGGGGATGGGGCTCCCTCCCATGTGCTCTCTCAGGTCCCGAACTCCTCATGTACGATCGGGTGAAGCTGCTGCTTACCGGTGGAACGTGAGAAAACATGTCACGCGAACATGGGCGCGCACGTAGGGTCTACTGCTACTCCTTAGGGTGTCCTTATGTGTCGGAAGGTGACAAGCATGTCCAATTTGAAGGAGCTGCAGGCACCGATGGTCAAATGATATTATTGTATATGTTCTACTGCAGTATACTATACGAGACTAGCAGAATAGAATGTCTTATGCAATATGTTTTAAAACCGCTAAGGGAAAATAGTTTAACGTGATACCATATGGTAGAGCGCAGTATAATATAGCATAATAGAGTTTAATATCGTCTAATGTGCCATAGTATAATGCAAGATCATAATTATGGATAACATACATACGACGACAACATAGCATAATGCAAGGTCATACATGCTAACACATGGTAACACATCGTAATATAATAGAGTATAATATAAGAGTAAGCAAGACACATGTATGTAACACACGAACATTCAATTGTTCGATCTCATATCACATCACATCATATCATGTCACATCATATTAGTTCATCTTATATCATTTAAATGGGATCTTATCGTAACATGTCATATCATATCATACCATAACATGTCATACCGTATCATGCCATGTTATGTAACATAATCGATCGTAGTGCTCAAGTTTAGTGCGCAACAGTATGATACACGCTTGACTCACAGTTTTTGCGCTCCTGAACAGTGTCGCACGCCAAGAATGTCTAGCAATGGCTTGCCATGTGTTTCTTTAAAGTCATATGCATCCATGTATGCAGTCGCACACGTCCTCACGGATGTTCGGACGGACGGATGGATTCATATAGACATGTCAAGACAGGCACGACGTTTCTCGGGCACTGTTAGTGTTCTTGTGTTCAGTTCGATGGGCTCTCTGGCTCAACAGAACTACATCCTAAGATCACAGGGTCTGGGAGATTCATGGCTGGGTTTCGTGATTGACATTCTGGCGGAGGCCTCTGCAGCCTGCACTTCTGTTCTTCCGGAGACATCTGCAAACTCTGATTGATTGTCTGGCAGTCTCTTGCTTTCAAGGTTTTCTGCCGTAGACTCATTGAGCTAACCGGGCAGATCATGCAGGCCCTTGTCCTCCTAGATAGCTGCTGGCATCAGCCATAAGCTCGTTGAGAAGTCGCAGGGGTGTAGAGCACAGGGGCCGTGCCTAGCTCGACGGAGCCACGCAACACTGCAAAAAACTGTCAGACCAAGCGCGAGCACACGACACTTACACCGGGACATCTGCAGGGAGAGCTTTCCAAAGAGAAACGTCTCACCTGCGGCTCAAGATCCTGGTGGAGGACTCGACGGGAATTCGATCAGTAGAAATTCTGCCAGTTGGGCATTGCCTGAGTAGGCTAGGGAAGCAGAACTGCTTGCGCCGCTTCGTTTGCGAGCTTTAGTTCGTGGAAGCATTTCGCCCGTGGCTAGTAGTAGTTCATGCTGAATCCCGGACTGTATCGATTGTCTTGTCCACACAGCTTAACCCCCGGGCCAAGAGATTTTAAAGCCTGCCGGGAAGCCACCCAACAGCCCTTGTCTTCACGGCTCTACAACCCCGGAACTCTGTGTGATGGAGGAGGCTGTATGGCCTTCTGAGAATCTCTGCATATTCCCTTTGCAGCTGCAGGCACAGGGTCTATAGGAACTAAGGCAGGGGTGTTTGGCATTGTTTTGATGCGGACTGCCAGGCTGGGCACGTGAGGGGAGCGGGCTCAAGGAATTCAGGAATGAAACAGGAATGGGGTCAAGAAACTAGCAAAAAAGCAACACTCCATCCCGTCTGTGTCTCGAGACATGACCGGTGACTAGTGACTAGTGGTCTTATGAAGTTCTGAAACCTGTCTTCAGAATCAGATGTTTGCGTAGAGCTGAAGCCGACCTACAGCCAGTTTGTCGCAGCTCGCTGTCCAGGCATCAGCCCATTCCGCATCAGCTTGTAAGCATGTGGTGCTGCATCACGCAGGACAACCAGGCGCGAGATTTGTTTGCGCCAGTGTCCATTCCACGGCCAACATGCCTCCCAACAGACTTCCCCAGCTCGTGTGTCAACTCAGAAGGCTGCAAGGACGGTAAGCGGGTAGAGGTTTAGGGTTTAGGGTTTCGGGTTTAGGGTTTAGGGTTATTGGTTTAGGGTTTAGGGTTTAGGGTAGAAGTAGAAGTCGTGGCCCCCAACAAAAGAGAGATGCAGCAGGCTGCTGCTGTCGCTCGCTACACAGAAGCCCTCACGCAAGTCAAGCGATTCCTCGTCAAAGTTGCTGGTTCATGGGTAGTTATAAGTAGGGTTATAAGTAGGGTATCTGTATATAATATAACCTATATTAGGGGACTTATAACTCCACTTACAGTACAAAGTGGCTGCCGGAGGACACGGAGCTGACGGTAGCCGCCTCTCACGTCCTGCCTCAGGCAGCATGCTGTGAGCACCGGGAAGTTGAAAGACCAGTGAGTGTTTGCATTTGTCGCCTCCGGGCTCGGGGGGTCTTCGTGCCATTGCAAGCTTTAGGTGATGCTTAGCTCGTGGCTGGCCGGAAGTGAGGTGTACTTTCGGCCCCTTATCCTAGCATCGCAGTCCCTGCGTGAAAGTATCTTGCAACCGAAGATAGTGTTGCACCAGCCTATTGATGTGTGTGTGTGTGTGCATACGCTCGTGTACATACATGGTTCTTCACAGACCCCTCGTCACATATATATATATATATACATGTGTATATATATATATGTATACACATGCACAGCGAAATCTACACCCGAGCGCATACATGCGTATATGTATGCGTGTGTTTTTAGTGATATACGAATGTACGAATGCATACTTTCAGATGTGTCTGCATATAAGCATTTACCGATGTATAAGTGTCTGCCAGTTTATGTATATGTTCATATATATATATATACATACATACATACATACATACATACATACATACATACATACATACATATGCATATATTCTGTATGTACATATTTACATATGTGTATATATATATATACACACACATACATGTACACGTGCTCACATGACCACGTGTTCACAGACCGACAAACAAGAACACACCGTTGCGTAGGTTCATCTTCAGCACTGATGCATCCCGATAGAGCGCTACAAGTCGAGGGCTGTTGATACGGGTTGTGACACGGCTGTGAAGTCTGCAAACAGCACAAGCAGTGGATCAAGTGTGTTTGGACTAGGGTTCAGGCAGATGGCATTCACATTCCACTTCCTGGGGCCTAAGCTCCGAACTTGTGACGTGGTTCACGAAGGACAACTGATGCATCGGTGTATAGAATGGCACATCATGCTGTCTGTGTAGCTGCGCTATGGCTTCTGCAACACCTGTTTCTGAGGGCATCGACGTCGGGAAACTTGAAGACCGCCCGGAGTTCATCTATCCAGATGGTTCTACACTCAGAGGGTTGGCTGGGACATTGGCATCAGGGTCGCGGCACTCCACTATTGATATGGCATAAGTAAGACATACAAGTGCGCAACCTCAAGAACGTAAAGAGCGAAAGCTTGAACCGAGAACTCCTCGCTTATCAGGCACATTGGATTTTGCCAGTTTCACTCATGGCTATATAGCGTTTTTTTTTTGCATCGCGAGGGAACAAGTAACAGGACGCCACCAGCAAGCTCATGTCATCGGTTGAGGGGTGCTCGGTTCCTAATGTGCTTCTTTGGCCCCTCAACTGTACAACAGCCTGCGGTTTAGGGTAATGGTTTCATGACCAGCTAGTGCACTTCTGTCTTTGGTTTCACATCTTGAACTTCTGGAACCGTGCTCAGAGCCGTCATGCCGTTGCCAGCAGTTAGCATCAGCGTGGAGCAAACTCAAATCATCCAGCTCGTGTTCCCCGCAGAAACTGCCATCAGCTTTTCTTTTGAACTTCCTAGCAGAACGGTGTCACGAGCTTGCTGCCGCATACATCCGCATACGTTGTATCCCAAATCATAGACCCTCAGCCCCAAACCAGAAGGCCACGAATCGCAACGGCATTCGTGAGCCGTATTGCCTGATTTTTCCAGCGGTTTTCGCTTCCCCCGATTGTGTCAACATGTAAATGGCAAAATCGTTCACGTCGGGCTTACCTGACACAGTGTTTAATTTATGTTCTTTCCATGATGTGCGTAATACATGCCCAGGTTCAAGCTATGTTGGCCAGTGGAACGGCAGCAAGCGAGAAGGAACTGGCATTCAGGCCAACCATTAAATAGCTGGTTGCCAAACGCAGCGTTCTTTTTTTGCGATGCTCCAGGACTTGGGCAGTGTGATGGTTTTTGAATTGTTTAACTACACGTTCGATCCACCTCTTTCGCAATAACGAATTGGTCGAGACCAAGTCCGGCAACGACTGTCAAGTCTTCCAGGCCATGTGGATGGGAGTATAGGTTTTGCAACTCTGGTGACAGTAGTATCCAAAAGAGTTTTCACCATGGAACAGGGATACTGGCAAGAAGCATTGCTCATGTTCTTCATAGCAACACTCGCAACGGTAGAACCTGCTGTTCCTCTAGCATCAGTGGCCGGGGTGGTGGTAGTAGAACAAGTGTAAAAGAGCAAGCAGAAGCAGCAGCAGGAGTAGTAGTAGCGGTAGGAGCAGTAGTAGTAGCAGTAGTAGTAGTAGTAGTAGTAGTAGTAGTAGTAGTAGAAGTAGCAGTAGTAATAACAATAGTAGCAACAGTAACAGTAATAGTAATAGTAATAGTAGTAGTAGTAGTAGTAGTAATAGTAGTAATAGTAGTAATAGTAATAGAAATAGAAATAGAAATAGAAATAGAAATAGAAATGATAACAGTAATAGTAATAGTAATAGAAATAGTAATAGTAATATTAGTAGTAGTCTTAGTCGTTGTCGTAGTCGCAGTAGTAGTAGTAGTAGTAGTAGTAGTAGTAGTTGTTGTTGTTGTGGTAGTAGTAGCAGTAGTAGCAGTACTGTACTAGTAGTAGCGAAGGTTTCGACTACTGCCTGCTACTACTACTACTACTACTACTACTACTACTAGAACTAGTCGGAGTACCGAAGACGACGACGAGGGGCACAAAGACGCCGACCAGGGCGACGATTACTACAGTTAAGTCTATCAGGATTGCTGATGCTAGAATAAGGAGGGTAGGACTGCGTCCGACAAACACGTTCTTGATTTCTCGTCATGACACGACCGGTCATCTGAACAAAGCATACAACAAGAAATTCGGTTCGAACTTGACCATGTTAGATGATCTAGACTGACGCATCCCCACGACAGCCTCTACATATTCTCCGGGACATGCTGCGAACTGACAGGTGTGGAAGGACGGTGAGCGGTACACGGGTGGCTGGATGGCTGACCAGTTCCATGGCAACGGAAGGCCAGTGCATGACTCCGGCACCGTGAATTCACAGATTGCGCGGCATCGTCTTTCTCAAGGTGTTACCGGCGACATCCTGTCTTGATACGTTCCACGACATTTCAGCGTTCATCGCTCCACTTGTCGCACTTCTCGGAAGTTTCGGGGCTTCTTGTCTCATCATTGGTGGCCAGGCTTCGAAGCAAGGACTTACGTCCTCAGAAATGCGCTTCTGGTGTCTGTTAAATAGAGCGTTCTTGTTTTGCGACTCGATTTTGCTCTTCTTGCACGATGTGACCGGCTTTGCAGAGGTAGAGCGACCATGCCAGTGCAAGCGTTGGTCTCGTTTTGTCCATGGCTACTGCACAAGTCCTAGCACATGCCCGACACAAGCTAGGTTGTTAATTTCGAATGCATGAGAGCTACTATCTCTATGCAGTCCGGTGGCAGGTTTGAGCACCAGAACGGGGACTTCTACGAAGGCGAGTTTGATGCCGGAGCCGCGCACGGCAAAGGCCCGAGATGTCGGGGAGGGATGGACGGTGCTGCACAGGCTGGGCAGTCGTTCTATCTTCGTTGACCACTGGAAGCATGTCATCACGTGATGACGAGTCTGACTCGGGCCGGATTCATGGTGGTCGAACCATAGATGCCCATGAATCCGAGCGCACGACTACCCAGTTGCAACTTGCATCCCCAGAGTCCCGAAAAGTATTGATATGTTAGCCATTGCCAGGCACGTACCAGCAGATTGGGGGTGCAAAATACGTCGGCGAGTGGCAGCAGGATGGTATGCGGACAGAAGTTTCACCGAGTCCCGTAGTGATAGTTTCGTGTGGAACCCGAGGCGTGTAACTTCCTGAGTCCCTCGTGATGGAAGCCTTGCGACTAAGCTCTGAAGCCTTGACCTTTAATAGGGTTTTGGGGCATATTGTACTATAATCATAATAGGGAACCCCCAAACAGTACTGGTAATTATTTAAGCCCCTATATTACAAGCAAAGCTCTGAACCCGGAGCTTCAGGTGAACCTGTCCCCAGTCCCCAGGTACGTACAAAAGGTGCGTTTGGACCGCTCCCCGTTCTCCTCCACCCCACAGCAGTTTCGGAATCAGAGCTGCTTCAAGGGCTACATATATATATATATATATATAGATGCATACGTGTACTATGTATATGCATATGTACATGTATATGTATGTTCGCATAAAATGTGTTTTGAATATGATGTATTATCTATATATAGCATATAGTTTATACACATATTGTGTTTGTTTAAAACTAGTATACAGTATGTATATATATATATACAATATAATAGTAATTATATATATATATAAACATATGTATGTATATATCATAATAGAAACACGAATATTATAGTATAACATAATATACTATACTGTAGTAAAATACAAATATAATGTTCATCTATTCATTTATTGACTCACTGATTGATGGATGGATGGATGGATGGATGGATGGATGGATGGATGGAGGGAGGGATGGATGGAGGGATGGATGGACTGGATTGGAATTGATTTGGTTTGGTTTGATTTGGTTTGTTTGATTGTTTGATTGATTGGTTGGTTGATTTAATGCCTGGTCGAGTGATTGAATGAATGATTGTCTGGTTGGTTGATTGATTGGGTGATTGATGATTGTTTGGTTTATGCATTCCTTTGCTTATTGGTTTAATTATTGATGGAAAAATTAAATGTTTTGGTCTTTGAATGTTCGTACTCAGACTTTGATTCTGATCGGCATTATGTCCTTAAGATGTCACAGCCTGTATCTCGTATTTTGTAGTACACGATGGATGTTACACTACATGTACATATAGCTCCGCATCCAGAGAGGATCAGAAGCACGGCTTCGGCGAAGAAGCTTGGCCTGATGGCACGAGGCCCGCCCTAATTCTGAGATTGTCGTTCCCAAGCATATCTCCAGAGGAACATGAGACGGTACATCAAATCACAGTTTCACAATCGCTGAAAGCTAATCCCTTTATCCTGTCAGTAAACCTTTTTCCCCTAAAAACCAAAATACTCGTATTTTCGGCACGAGTATCGATTCTCGTCCAATTCCTCTATGCTTCTTTCGCCCTTCCCCTGGAAGACCACAGACCCCACAGTCCTACGTTTGCAGTTGCTGCAGCCTTCAGCTCTTGAGGCCCTACGTGCTTCTTGCTCTTAGAGCCTGTACTTCCGTGCCTGCTGTCCTGCGTCGTTGCTGCAGCCCTTGCTGGCTGCCGTTCCTTTAAGTCCAGAGAGAGCTTTGGGAGGGAAAGGTTTGGGAAAGGAGCTCAGCTCACGCGCTAAGTACTACAGCTTCAATACACCTTCGCTCTTGCTCGTCGGGTTTCGGATGCCGTGATACATTCTAAACTGATTAAGCAGCCAGCTTCAGGTTTCCAACCACAAAACCTGGTAGCCACAATTGCGCCACAGTCTTGCCCAACATAAAACCCGGCTTTGAGTGCATCTCCGGTCAAGATGCCTCCCGAACTAACATTTAATCTTATGGACGACAGTGACAAGAACGACAACCACTACCAACAGCACAACAGCAGCAGGAAGAGCAACAACAACAGCCACAACCATGGCCACTACCACAACAGTAATGACAGTGACAATTTCAGTGATTGTGATCGTGGCCGTGACATTGCCACTAAGAAGAGCAGCACGACAACCAGAAGTACGAGCAATAACACAGCCTCAGCAGAAGCATGCTGAAACTTCATGATGTGACTGACCAGTACAGTAGTAAGCAAAAACAAGAGCGACATCCAAACTGATCTCAATACTGCCTATAGTCTCCATTGGAGATCCTTTTTTTGGTTTAACCAATGATATATTTAGGATCGCAAAAGGTAACCCCAAAAAGGAGCTACAATGGAGACTATAGGTGCTATTGAGCCTGGCAGTGCTGCCAATTTGGGGAGCTGCCGGTTGGAAGGTACTCAGGCTATTACGTGCGGGGAGAGAAGTCCGGCTATGGAGAGCTGCTCTGGGCGGACGGGCCGGGATCCCGTGCCAGACATGATCCTATATGCTGCGCTAAGGGTCCATGTATCCTAATAGTGGAACATTGGCCCTAAAGTACCTATACAGGGATTACATTAAGGCCAAAGTATAGACTATTTGGGTACATGGACCCTTAGGGCTGTGGTTCATAGATGAGTTTGTGTTGGATTCGACTCGAGGTGATAGTTGTTTCCCGTAGTCGTCGTTGTGCTTGTCTCTGTGTACATGGCGTGCTCTGTGGTGCAGAGCAGGTCATGCTTATAGGCAGCTTACGTGTCAATGCTTTCCACAGAAGGCATCCTTCAGAAGACGAGCACCAAGCTTTTCGGAATGGAAGCAGTGGTGAGTAGCGCCAAGCAGCGTGTTTGCAAAGTACATGACAAGTCCGGTGGTCTTCTCAGACTTCTCCCGCACCCCGTTCCAAGCAAGGAGTGGGTCCGGCACAGTTCCTGGTCCCACAAAAGCCACGAGAAAGTCGAACGTAGTTGGTTGATACTCTCTCTGACCCAAGCCGATGGTTGGCCGATCAACTATCTACCCCTTGCAATACGCATGTATTCCTGTCTTCCTCGCTTTATTGGTTTGAAGTTTCTGTCGGCCGACATCACACGATGTCAGCAACTCTTGCAGTACGCCAGCCCGAATTCTCCAGGTCTTCTTACCGTGGGGGCTTCTTGAAGAAGCAAATCCACGGCGAAGGCGAGGGTCTTATTCTGGTATCAGATTCCCCCTAAACTTAGCCCTAAACCCTAAACCCAGAAGAAAGGGGGTGACTGGAGGTAGGGATGTAGGGGAGGTGAGCTGTTCCGAGTACGTTGTCAAGGACCCCACTGTTTCGAATCTACAGAACAGTGTTTTGCGTTTGTGAGAACTGCTGTCATGTAGCTGGGTTTTACCAGGCTTCTCTAATCGCTACCGACTCCATTTATGACAGTCCGACAGTCCTGATTTGCAGACTTGTTGTCTTGCCATGCCATTAGACGAGCTTTGGACGTTTTGGGTTTTGGGTCGATGTAGACAGTTCTTTTTGTTTGCTTGGTTTTTGAGGGAGTCTATATGGAGTGGCGAGCAGAAAGTCATTGCGACGCCTTACAAGCAACTTCCGGCATGCAGTACGCTAATTAGCCCTATTGAGCATGGATTTTGACATCAAGCACGGTGGAGGCTTTACCAAGTCTCCGTCAAGACTCCAAAAATACCCTGAGGCGAGTATATTTGGGCGGACGGGCGGCGCTTTCAGGGACAGCCGCTCCCTCAGGGATTCCGAGGTTTCCGAAGCTGGCAACCGGGCCTACGCTTGAGGGTTAAAGGGAAGTGTTTAAAGCAAAGGATTGCGAGCAGGTCAGAAACTATCTCCGGGGAGTCGTCCGGCATTGAAGCAGGGTCTGAAGTCATCTCACTGGGAGGCTAGAGTCTAGACACTCAAAATGTAGAACAGAACAACGTGTCATTCAACCGGAACTCGGAAGACTCCACGCTTCGGACTGTGCTTTATAGTAGCTGGTCACAGTCGAAGGAACATTTTTCTGGGGCGCATGCTCCGGTTGCGAAGTTCCCCCCCTCCAGGTACCTACTATATAGGCCCCTAGGGGCTCTTTTATCCTATATAGTAGGTATTTGGGGGGTTGGGGTTCAGCTTTGCCACGGCCTCGCCAAGCCTTTATTGTCTTTACCACTGGCCACGGAGACTGAGCTGCGCTACCTGTTTAGGGTTTAGGGTTTAGGGTTTAGGTTCTACGGTTCTTTTACTTCAGTCTCACGAGCATGAAGAAGAGCAGGGTTTGAACTCGGTTGCCCTTGTCAAGTGTTGCCCGAGAGCTTCATAAAGCCACTTTCAGTCCCCAAACCACGTAACAAGAAACATCAAGCAGCTTTTCTTCGAGGTGGGTGGCAAATCAGATGCATGGAGCAGGTGGGATAGCCACCACCTCTCCCATAAAATGCAAGTTGCCGCTGCTGGACTCTTTGCTGATTTTAGAACCACAGCCAGTCCTACTACATCAAGATTGGGGCTTAATTGTTCACGTCGTTTTCTCCTGAGCGCAAAAGAGATGTGCATGGGTTCTTGTTGCATGTGTATGCACGACTTTGGCTTCACCGATCGCGGCAGATCTCTGCTACACCACCTTGCGCTCGCGATTGCTTCCTGTCCATGCCGGCACGTCTTTTAAGTTCGCCTGGCGCTGCCTCCTACGGCTTTTCATGCTAGAGACTATAGGCACTCATGCAGATGTCGCATCCATGAGATCACTGCGCAAACGCGAACGCTTTGTGTTCGGGCATTGTGGGGTGCTCTCTTTCCACCAACACTATCCGCATCGAGGCTTTACCGTCAGATGCTCTGCTTCCACTACGCAGGGGTGGGGGCGTTTTGTTGTTGATTGTTGCCCAAGCTTTCCCTAACACCCCAAGTACCTTTCTATATGGGGTACCAGAGCCCCTAGGGCCCTATATAGTAGGTACCTGGGGGATGAGGGTTTCTTTGTCAGGCACATTCAATTGGCCTGACGGTCGCTCCTACAAGGGCGAGTGGCACACTCAGAGCGCCTTTCAAGTTGCATGGAGACGTGCAGACGGGTGTTCTGCGAGGTACTACTACGACAAGAAACAAGGAGAAGGGGCTTTTGAGTGGTCCGACGGCCGAAGGCAGGGCAAACCTGAAGATGCCAGAGAGAACTCACCTGCCGCTGACACCATCTGCGGACTTTTCCTCGAAAGTCTCAACTATGCAGTGGTTTTTGCACTACAGTTCCTACACGAAAAGCTGTTGAAAGGATCCCAAAGCTTTCGAAGTCTCACGAAGTCAACAAAACAACCCCAGCATCTTCAGCCTCTGTCACTACGACTATAAGTGATTATCACGATTACCAGTGTCTGCTACTACCATTTTCACGACGGCGACGACGATGACGACGACGACGACTACACGACTACTACTACTACGACTACTACTACTACTACTACTACTACTACTCCTACTCCTACTCCTACTATTACTACTACTACCCAGTAGTAGTAGTAGTAGTAGTAGTAGTAGTAGTAGTCGTCGTAGTCGTAGTAGTAGTAGTAGTAGTAGTAGTAGTAGTAGTAGTAGTGATACTATTATTATTTTATTGCTACGACTACTACGTCTACTACCTCTACTACGACTACTACGACTACTACTACTGACTACTACGACGACGACCTGTATGCTGACTGTAGTTGCAGGTTTTCTTGTTTTCTTTCAGGTACACCGGCCAGTGGAAGGATGGGCAACAGCACGGCAAAGGCATCTTCCGAAAGGCAGATGGCCAGAGCCTGAGTGAGGTCTGGGGCTTTCAGGCTCGGGGTTTCGGGCTTAATTAGGGTTTTGGGTCGAAGATGTCTATAGAAGTTCAAAAGAGTGCTTTGGGGGCTTTGGGGTCAGAGTTTAGGATTAGTCGTTGTGGTTTGCAGTGTTGGGAGGGTCCCGTAACAGGCCTATCGCTACGTCGTTGGGATGCTATAGCTTGTCACAGCAGGGACCATATCAGGCACAGTACTTCCCAACAGGTCGTCATGTTTTTTGTAGGCAGTCGAGCTGCGAGAACGCCTGGGTGCTCAGTCAGAAGTGACAGGATTGGCTCCGCCCTCACAGTCTCTACGACCAGACCAGCTTGCCTGAAAAAGGTGCCTGGAAGCCCCGAAGGTTTTCAAAGGCGATGTAGCATCGGTTCCTGCGGCTGTCGAGAACACCTGAGCAGTTCGAAAGTTGTGTGGAGGTCGTGGAATGAAAAAAGCTGTTGGGGCTTTGCCGCCCAGGTTCAGAGGAGGACGGCACCTGGACGGAGGGCAAGCTGACAAAGAAGTCCACGAATCTCTAGTTTCATATGCCCTGATTATGGGGTTAGGAGATCGGTTCATATCCGGGTGCATAAGCCGGCACTGCAAAGTCTCAACATGCTAACACACACATGACACACACTGTCCTTGCTAACAGAGATGTGACGACCTTCCAGTTGCAGGGGGTTGCTGAGCAACAGCCTTGTGAGACCGTGACCGTTTGGTGACTGCCAGGAAGTGGTCCCGTAGTTGCATGATTAGGACCTACGGAGCAGAGGGATATTTCCAGAGACCATGCTTGGATTTCGGAGAGCACATTCATGCCCAGGGGACACTTGTATAAGCCTTATTGGCAAAAGCCCCAATATCCCAAACTTGAAACCCCGGACCCGACACTGGCAGCACGTGCCAAAAACCATGGCTCCCAGTGCATCGCCATTTTCAGTCTAGTGCCCTTCTCGGGCTTTCCCGCTGGCTTGGCGACTCCTCCTGAATAGCGGGCAGTCATGATTTGTTCACAGGCGAACGCTTTTGGTCTTGAGAGTTCAAGGTTCTCCAGTTCCAGATGTGCATGTTGCCCAGACCTTTTGCTCTTAACTCCAGGCTATCTTCCAGCACGCGTTGTCTCAGACTAGGACAAACATAGGGGCTAAAGCATTGCCAATACAAGTTAATTGGGGCTCCTAGTTTTATATTCTAATTGTTAAGGCCCCTGTACTTTGAGTCTTGACTACCTGTAGTCTCGACTGTAGCTCCCTTTCGGGGTTCATTTTATCGGATCCTGACTAGTAAATTGGTTTCACCAAGAAAGGAACTACAACGCAGACTATAAAACCCTAAACCCTAAACCCTAAACCCTAAACTATGGGTAGGGGCTCTAAAGGAGACGCAGAGAGGACCGGGGAGGGAGTCGCTACAGCGCTCGTAAGGCCCTGGCCAGAAGTTCTGCTCTCGACTTGGGATGTCAACAACATCGAAACACTTAGGATTTAGAATTTAGATTTTGGGGTTGAACATTTAGGATTTAGAATTTTGATTTTGGGTTGAACATTTAGGATTTAGAACTTAGATGTTGGGTTGAGGGTTTCGAAATTTAGGGAGGTTTGCCGCAGCTTTACAGGTGACGCTCGACAGCCTGCAACACCGCAAAACAGGGTTCAGGCCGGCGCGAAGTATCTGCGGCCCTTCTGATGGACGTAGAATTCCAGACGTGCTTGGGCCTTCATCTGTCCTCCGTGCCGGAGCCAGTTCTACGGTCGCCACTTTGTCCTTTTTAGAAGGGCTAAGCGGCAAGCTTTCAGTTGAAACGAAGCTACGTGACTCTGTGCCGAAGAAAGCGAGCGAGACTGATCTTGCAGCTGCTCGTAGGGTCGGAATGTCGAAGTCATGCTGGTTTTGAGAATTGAACTGGCCCTAACCCCAGGTACCTACTATATAGGGCCTTGAGGTTTCCAGTACCCGATATAGTAGGTACCTTGGGGGTTAGGGTGGTATATGCGGCACGATCGTTAGCCGAAGTGTTCCTTTCCAGCAAGGTATGACACAAGTATGCTGTGCGAGAGGCTTTGTGTTCAGCACCTGACCGGGTGAATTTAGGTCTTGTTCGGGGCATCGTCGTCGTGAAACCCTGAATCCTTGTACAGGCAGGTAGCGTTACATGGACTCTTCTAGCCACCTAAACCCTAAATCCTAAACCCCAAACCCTAGATGGGCTCTCGTCTGCAGGCTTCTGTAGGGGTTTAGGGTTTAGGGTTTAGGGTTTGAGTGTTCGAGGGTTTTATAGAGGCTTCTTAGGGGTTTATATGGGTCTCACATGCATTTGCCGTGGCTCAAACCCAGGCGTAGTTGCCAGGGTCCTCAGTTCCGGGTCTACTAGGACCCGGTTCGATGCCCCGGCCCTGCTCCGTGCCACAGCTGAGATTACGCTTACATTTCATTCAAGTCCAAAAGAAGCACTGTCTGAGGAGTGCCCAAAATCGGGGCTCATGCCTGGATTGATCGTAAGCTTGTTTAGTCGTGCCGCATGGTTTCCATGCAGTTTCGGGCCTTTGACATCTCTCTGCACGAGCGTTCTGCTTAGGCTGCAACTCCCTGCAACTCCCTTGGGCCCCCTTATCATGTGTGCATGTGTGTACGTTTTCTGCCTGCAAGATGTGTTGTTATTTCGTGACTCTGTCTTTCTTTCTCTCTCTCTCTCACTAGGCATGTCTCCGTGCCCTTGCCAGCTTGTCTCTCAATCAAGCTGTAAGTGCATGCATGCATTGATGACGGATGGATGGATGGACGGACGGACGGACGGATCATGGATGCATGGATGGATGCATGGATGCATGGATGGATGGATGGACCGACACTGGGATGGATGGATGGATGGGTGGATGGACGTCCGTCCGTCGGTCGGTCTGTCTCTCTGTCTGTCCGCTTGTCTGTTTGTCTGTCTGTTTGTCTGTCTATTTGCAGTTCTGCATGTATGTAAGTATGTCTGTACGTCTTTTTGTTTGTTGGTACGTATGCATGCATGCATGCCAGCATGTATGTATGTTTGCATGTGTGCACGCATACATATGCATGCATGCATGTATGCATGTATGCATGTATGCATGTATACATGTATGCATGCATGCATGCATGCATGCATGCATGCATGTATGTATGGATGGATGGATATGTGTATGCTTGCATGTATGTATGTATGTATGTATGTATGTATGTACGTATGTAG